TATATATGTCCATGGATATATGTGGAGTTGGTGTCTCACCTTCTTTCTGGACCAGGAAGAAAGAAAGATAAAGGAAAGAGTCGGAGAGGAGAATATCTAATGGAAGAAATTGATGGGACCTGAAAGGCATTTTTCAACCAATCTAGCAACTGCCTTCATGTCACCTGTTGACTCATGGCAACCTCATGAATTTCACACAGTTTTCTTAAACAAGGAATACTCAGAAGTATAAGCACTTTGAAAAAACACCATAATACTTTGCAACTGAATTAACATCTGTTTCCATGACTGCCAAGTCTATCCATCCATTTGCAGATGGTGTGCATGTTCATGTGTCTGATTTGGCATAGTAGTGGCTTTCTTAGAATAGACAATATTCAGTGTGATGAGTTTCTCCAGATTTCTAATTGGCTCATTCATGTTCTGAAAGACTGACTCCTTTTTTTGTTGTTCATTGACTTTTTAAAAAAATGTAAACAACCTAGTGGCCAAAACTTCTCTTTGTATTGTGACATGAAAATTAAGCAATAAATAGAATTCAGATGTTCAAACCCTTTCCCACCTTAAGATAATGCATTGATTTATACTTTTTGTTCCCCCCCCCCCCTTTCACCTTCTCAGTTTCTTGACTTGGTTCAGAAGGACAAAGGTGTTTCAAGACATATGCCTTCAGAAATACACTTTTCTTAAAAGGATGGATGATATACCTCAAGATCTTTTTAATTATGGGGTTTCAAAAATACAGCATTGTATCATTGCCCTTATTCCTAGAAAGGGATGTCAGGTAGAACCTTGGTTGAGCAAACTGAAATTTGTGGCCGGTGTGGACACTTCTTTAATAGTCAAGTGACTCTCTTTGCTTTGGATGACAAAGAAGATCAAACAGAGGTCACCAGCTGTTGCTGAAAGTAGATGATTAACTACTTATCTTGTGCTGTGAAAATGGAGAGTAATTAATTAATTAATTGTATTTATAGCTGCTATCTTCCTGATAAAATTGACGACAATCTCCTTAATAAAACTGAGCAACAGATGGACTACTTCTACGAAGATAGCATCACAGGAGGCTGAACAATATGATAAATGCAGGCCATTTCTGAGTGTTATATGCTACAAACCCTGTGACTCATGCTTTTGGATGAGATCTAGCTTATTTGCTCTACCGTGCAACCACCTTCAAGATGTCAGTTCTTGTGGGTTTTTTCGGGCTATATGGCCATGTTCTAGAGGCATTTCTCCTGACGTTTCTCCTGCATCTATGGCAAGCATCCTCAGAGGTGACCTCACCTCTGAGGATGCTTGCCATAGATGCAGGCAAAACGTCAGGAGAAATGCCTCTAGAACATGGCCATATAGCCCGAAAAAACCCACAAGAACTGAGTGATTCCAGCCATGAAAGCCTTTGACAATACACCTTCAAGATGTTTACAAGCCTTACGCACAAGCTTGTGACCATCCTCAGGTTTTTGTCCTGTAGTAGTCGTCTTTTAACCATACAATCTTTCTAATATTTTCAAAATTAATTTGAAGTTAAAATAAGAAGCAGTCAGAGATCAAAAGGTTTGTGAAGAAACCAATATCTTGGATCTTTTCTTTTATATTATGTGAGGTTTTGTCACCTTTTGCCAGCCAGATTTTAAGTCCCTTTCCAGACTTGAACCCCAACCTGAAAATGTAGAAGGCTAACTGCCATGTCATTAACAAACACCATAATGCTTCATTAGGCAATATGAATGTATCTCATGAAAAATCACCCAACATAGTGTAGTGATTTAAGTTTTGGGTTGGATCTTCAGGACACCATGGTCTGAATCTGCTTGGCTATGGAAACCCACTAGATGAACCTTAGGCAAGTCACACCTCTTAGCCTTGGGGGTGGGTAATGGCAACCTGCTCCTCTGAACAAACAAAACCCAGTGATGGGGTTGCATTAGGGTTGCTATCAGTTGGATATGACTTGCAGGCATGCAAGACACAGAGAACAGAATCATTGTCAGTTGGACAACATGAAGGAACACAACAACAACAAAAACCACAGTAGTTTATATTACGGTTGGTTTCAGCCTAGGGAGAAAGTAACTTAAGTAGTAGAAGTGAGTGCTAGACTTAAGCAGACCAGTCTGACCTATGAGCAGGCTAAATATACCATTGGCTGAGCACAGTAAAAGGAAATTCAAATCCGGAATATTTAATTAACTCTACAGATAGAAAAGATTATAGAAAATCAAAAGTCCATATTTGTGAGGCTGATTAAGAATGATTCTTTCCAAAGCTTGAAAACGTTGGTGACTAGAGGATTTGTCATCCAGAGAGTAACTTTTCCAAGTTGTTTTTAATATCTCTTACTCGGTGAAGAGAAGATCAAGGTTGCTGTTTTTTTTCCTTCCTACTGGCAGCTTCTGCTTGTAGAGAGATTGTGGAAAATCCTACAGGGAGCTACTAGGTGATGAAAGTTTTAAATTAGGGGCAAGAAATCTCTCTCTGGCTTTTGGCCCAAATTTCACTTAGGGAAGGATTTCTGGAATCACATGGGCAGGACTAAGGGAGTGGGGCCATACAACAACTTTCCAGGTTGCAAAACACAGCTCAGTTCCACACAAAGGCTTCTCAGAATTAAAACAATCTCTTATCTACAATCACAGATTGAAAATAATAACAGAAGAAGCTTGAGGCTGGATGAGATCCCTTGGAGCAGCTGACCAAAATGTCCCCATTCCTGTTTGAAATGATCAAGCTATCTTCTCAGTATTAAAGGAAAGAAAAATAACATGCATATAGCAGAGTCATATGCATTTACTTTGAGCTCCTTCCAGAAATAGACATTCTCATGACATAAAACAATTCATTCTCTTACATTTTAATGTGCCTCCCAAGTAATCTCCAAAGGATTAAACAACATTATTCTTTCGACTGAATTCCTTTAAAAATACTTTTTCAAACTGGTCATTCTACTCTGCGGATAGGATGATGAATATTTTTACAATGAGGCTAACTTTTCCTTCTTTCAACAGCTATGTGAAAATTCATTCCACCTTCCCATATGCCACTTACAGCCCATTCCTTCTTCTGCACAACTTTTCTATCTGAATCCTCAGCATTCATAGAGAACGAGAACACTACACATTCTATCCCAAAATATTTTGCTGCCTGAGGCAGAGAAGAAAACAACTTCTCAGTCTGTTTACAGAATATAAAGGGACTAGCAGCAGGTTTTTTTTAAAAAAAATCAGTACTGCAATGGGATAGTATTCTCCACTGACCTGTGAGCAGAGCAACAGGCTAGTTCAGGGTATGTGTCATGTACAACTCTGTTTTCCATCTGAGGCCCCATCTACACTGCCATGTAATGCAGTTTCATAATGCAGTTTAACTGCATTAAACTGCATTATACGTCTACACTGCCACACAATACAGTTCAATGTCCTTAAACTACATTATGAGACTGCATTGTAGAGCACTGTACATGAGGCCTGAAAGGAACAACCAGAGAATTGTCACTGTTGCCTCCAGCTCTGCTTCCTGAATTGGTTACTTCAAGTCTACTTGATGGTAGCTGTAATGGACAGAGGAGCTGTCCATCACAGACATATTGAGAGCTAGGGAATCTAGCATTTCAACCTGTAAAGGAAAGGAGAGTGAGCTATGGTTTAGATAAACAGAGAAAGCAAATGATATTATAGTGAAACAGTTTGACTCTGGTTAGTTGGTAGAGAAGAAGTGGAGGAGGAGAGAAAGTTTGGCAAAATTCAGAGAAGTATTCAGAATAGGTACAACGGTAAGAGAGTGAGCTGAGTACAGACAAGCAGCCCACCTAGAATTGTTTATATGGCAAGTAAAGCATGTAAATAAAACTTCTACTACTTGATGCTTAATCATTGTCAGAGTCTATTTTTGTAAAGAGATTTATTGGACTTATTTATTTATTGGGTCAGCCAAGCAACATCAGAGACCTGAAGACATACAGTACATGATTGCCCATTTGGGCTGGGAGGGGGAGATATGTATCTCCAAGTTACTATTGACTTATACTGACCCTATGGAATTCATACGGTTTTCCCAGACAAGGAATGCCAACCCTTTCCTCTAAAATATAGCCAATGGAACTTGGCACTTGTTGGAAATCTACCATCCAAGTACTACTCAGGGCAGACCTTGCTTAGCTTCCAAAATGAGATGAGACCACTTTATTTTCCTTATGATAATCTTGAGTAGGTCTTGGGGGAAAGGAAAAGGCTGGTGGCAAAAGTTCCCAATTAAGAAAGGCATGTCAGTCCATGAAATGTAAAAAGTTCCTATCTTCTTTTAAAATGTGATGTAATGAAACATACACCGTGAATATTAAAAAAATAGCCAGCCATTAACATACAAGCAGATTGGTATCACAACAGAGAGCAAATAGAAACAAGAACCAATGGATATAAAGAGTACCACTTTTGCTCCATTTGTTGTTATGATAAGATTGATTCTTTTTGAATTGGGGAGCTGAAAAAGTTAGTGTCTGGAGGATTTTTCTATCCCAGTTCAAGTCCTTGTTTACCTTCAGTTCTGTTCTGTTTGAATAATTGGAAAATATTTTCAATGGTTCTTGCAACAGTTTTTTTTACCTCTTACATCGACTTTAAAAAACCTTTTCTCTGAAATCCTCAACCATATACCCTAGTTTTATTTGTGATGTTTAGCGCTGCTATTTTGTTTGCTTTTTGTTTTGCTAAATGTTGCATTGTGTATCTTTTAAAAAGTTGAATTGGGAGGGGACTCATAAAAACACAGTAAAAATATAACATTTCCAAATGCTTCTCTCATCCAAAAATAAACTGAAATTTATCAAGAAAATAACACTAGTACAAGGAGTGAGGATGCACCAGGGAGTTTCTATGGCCAAATGGGAAAACAGACCCTTGTCTCCAGTCCTAGTCCAATGCTCAACTTTTATACCACATTTATTAGTCCATATTGTACCCTTTAACCTTTCTCTTTACCATCTCTCTGGCAACAGAGATCAATTTCTGGTTGAGGAGTATGGGTGATTCTGCAAGGTCAAGTGCTCTGAGATTGGATCTCCTCTTTCAAGCTGTGAGAGGTATGTATTTGACCTCAGAGGTGACTTTCCAACTTGTCCCTTGGCCCTTGCTATAAAAGGAACTGCATGCTTGCACAGTAAATTGTGTAAAAACAGTACATGAAATATGGCAAAGTAGCTCAAAAGATGCCCAAAGAGGAAAGAAGAAACACCAGTTGAAAGACAACTGTTTTTGAGATTCATGTGTAGTAGCTTTTTTTAGAACACATTCCCTTTAATTATAGTCATAATTATATCTGTATAGAAATGGAATAGAAAACTGCCAGGAAAAGAAAATCAGTGGATGCCTATAAGGGTGGTGCCTGTAACAATATTTGTCCTTACAGTTGATGCATGCTTAACTACCCATAACATTCTCTTTTCTCTCTTATTGGACTTTCCCTCTCAAAATATGCTCAAGGCAACATGAATCTAATATATGAAATGGTAATATGTTTCAGGAATCAGAGTCAACAATAATGTCCAGGCATTCTATTAATGCCTAATGCTGATGAAACATTTACAGTTATTTGACTGAAAGATATATTATTATGGTATGGAAAAGGTCTTAATACAACTCCTTTTAAAAATGATGAAACTAACCAGGGAATTTAGTGCTAATATTTCCAGTGTTCCCTCAGGAAGGCACAGGCAAACCTAAATGTCATTGCATAGCAACAATCCAGTGCTGGGCCAAAAGACTGAATCTGTGATTACTGAACTGGGCTTTGATGGCATATGAAATATCAGGATAAGCTTTCTATGGAACACTCTGGTGCTATTCCACTGTGAGGGACTCACGTGGTTATTACAGCATGTTTAGGGGAAAACATGCTGTAATTCCCAAACACCTGCTTCCATGACGAGCCAATGTGTATGTATTCAACATGTATCTGGCATAGCAACATATGAGTAGTGTTGGAAACCAGTCTCCCAAGTACCTCATTTATTATTATTAGTAGTATTGATGAATTAGTTATATTTACAGTATATTTGGTCTTTTCCTATTGGTGCTGATCTTCCCCATTTATCATCACACAACCCTGTAAGGTAGACTGGAAGTGAGTGAGGCAAAAGTATGATAGCTGGGACCCAGTGATGGTAGTGCTACGCTGGTTGCGCAACACGGCTCTGAATAAGAAAAGGGAACACATGTGCCAGACACAGCACCACGTGCGCGAGAGACCGCACGCAGTGAGAGATGCAGCTATAACAGAGTCGACAAGGTTGTTCGGTAGAAAAGGGGGGGGGGCAGTCAAGTATACTGGTGCATGCTATCCAGAGATTGTATGCAAACACGTTCAAAAACGTTATTGCATTGGAAGGAAGGATAGAAAGGAGGAGAGAAATACAAGTAGTGGTGAAAAATGAATCAAATTCATTCAAATGAATCAAATTCATTTGAAAAATGAATCAAATTCATTCAAATGAATTCAAATGAATTCAAATTCTTACATTACTTCACTGTTATCCTGTCCCACCTACGTTACATTACTTGACTGGCAGCTGTGTCTCTCACTCGGTGTGCTGTCTCACACATGTTCCCTTCTCTAATTCAGAGCCGTGCTGCACCACCAGCGTAGCGCTACCAGCACTGGATCCCAGTTATCATACTTTTGCCAAGAGTGATTTGAAAAAGTATTTCAGTGTGCTTCAAGACTTCAGGTGTCTAGAACATGGATCTTCAAAGTCCTGTATAGACAAGTGTGGTGGCTGGTGTTATCCATGTTTCTGAATTCTCTGAGGCAAACAAGGAGGAGGAAAAAAGATGGAATTTCCCCTTCCTCTTGCTACCTTTAACAGTGTTCCTGCATTAGGGAAACTCCTGACCCTACTACATAATAAGGTTGGTCATGGAAGCAGCAGTAGGATCAAAAGGAGTAAGACACTGAAATCATTCACATCTGAAGCCCTTTCAGGTGTTCCCCTAGTAACTTCACTTGCTACTTGTCTTTGGATATTTAAACTGTAGACTCAGATGTTCAGCAAAAATTCTAAATTATTACAGTACAAGATATTTTGGGGACTGAAGAAACTTTAATGGGGGAGGGGCAGAAATAGGTGAAATGCCTTCAACTCCCCTTCCTCACCTGCATCCCAGATTAGATGAAAGAGTTTCTGAAAACCTAAACAGAGCTGACCCAATACATTTTGCTGCCTGAGTCAAAAGACAAAATGGCACTATATATGGCAACATGCCATGGAATCCTTGGATTTGTAGTTCAGGGAGATTTTTTAAAATACTTTTCAATCAGAGATATTTAGTGCCTCCACTAACTAAAAAACCCAGCATTTCATAGGATGCTGCCATAACTGTTGAAGTAGAATAAAGTGAAACCCCGTGCATGCGGGACCAGTGCCTGTGATTTTACCTACATGCATCCAGCAAAAGATGTTATCTCTAGGAATTTTCTAGCTCCCTGCAGGTGATGCTATAGTAACCTCTGATGGAAGTTTTCATTTCAATAGGGTTCTCTATTATCCACGGTTTCCTGTTTCTAAGGTACTTTCAGGAAGAAATCCCCCACAGATAATGAAGAGCATTGCGATTTTATAGTGCACTATTGATAAAAAAAATATGCATATTATGGGCACCTGTTGACTGTGGAAGGATATATAAAATCTTCACTGTCACCTAGACACTCACCAATACATTTTGTATCATTCTACTTACAAGTAAGTTTATATTCAGAATACGTATATGAGTTTTGACTTTGTTCATTCTGTGTGTTTTGAGACCCAGCCAAGTAGGTACATTTAGTTCAAACAAGATGCGGTCATAGGTTTACCAAGAGTAAGTGGACTGAAAGATTTTCAAACATTTATTTCCAACTTCATTCAGTGAACAATGATTTCATTGTATAGAAGTTCATTGTCATATAATCAAAGTGAGTCATAGACTGTATTTATCAGGCCTTGAGCCAAAATCTCTGGTTAATTATTCTTTATTTTCCCCCTTGTGATAAGATGTGCCTCTTTCTCTGGAGCTTTAGTTTCGGTTGCAGCCCTCATGAAAACTGTTCATGGTTATAAGTTATACAGAAGTAAAACTAGCATCTTAAAATGCCTTTTGTGTACTAATATGCTGAAAAATGTTAACACCACACAAAGTTCAACTGGCAGCAATAGTTATAAAAACCTTTGCTTACTCACCGGTTATTGCTTAGGTTTTCACTGGCTTAAAGAACTTAAGGGCATATCTACACTGTTGAATTAATGCAGTTTGACACTGCGCAAAGCACAGTCAGGGCTCTGCCCCCCCCCCACCTCCCACCCTGCCTAGCATGAGGCCCGTGGAGCCCTGCTGCCATGGCCTGTGAAGCCTCCTTGCCAATGGCATGGCCTATAGGGTCTTCCCGCCACTGCCGTGCCCTCCAAGGCCTCCCCGCCACCACTTTGACTGTGCATTTCCTGCACGGTAGAAACAGGTTGGACTGGGTGACCCCTGGAGTTGCTTTGGGTGGTCATGTTGAGAGTCCTTTGATTTGTGCTTTTACTGCGTGGCAGAAATAGGTTGGACTGGGTGATCTTTGAGGTTGCTTTTATTATTCTTATTCTTATTGCAAAGGCTGGATGACCAGTGGGGTCTTCCACTGAAATACTGTTAAGTTTATGTTGTTTAGAATTGTTCTTCATTTTAAATGCTGTACTGCTCTTTCTTTATTTTTTTCCTTTTTGCACTACAAACAAGATAGCTGCAGTGTGCATAGGAATTTGTTCAATTTTTTTTTCCAAATTAGTTCACACGAATGTCCTCCATCCATCTACCACTGGTCTGGCCCATCTGTCAAATTTTAAAATGCAATGTGACCCCTGTGTCCAAAAGTTTCTTGTGGCTCCATGAGAAACTTTTCCTTCAAAAAGGGCTCCACAGCTTTAAAAGTTTGAGAACCTCTAGTCTAGGGAAAGGCTATAATAGAGATAGGATAGTTAGTTGGGGGAAGAACTGAATAAGGTTTTGGGGAAACTGCAAATGATTAAGTAGTTCAGAGATTAATTTGTGATCTAAATGCATCCTAATAAGCCTTTATTCTGTTTTACAGCTATGTCTGGCTGCTCATATCCAATTCTGACAGTGTCTGATCATGCATACCACAGAACAAGACATCCATTAGTCCATGAAGGATTACCTAGTGGCTCAAGTACATGATCTAGAGAAGGATGTGGAGGGAGGAAAGAAACAAGTGAGTACTGTAACTAAAGTCCAAAGATTTGGAACTTGGGGCCAGACTAGAGAGGGAATCCATCAGACTACCTTTGCACTATCATCCTTGACTTTCTTATTTACTGCGCTTATATACCGCAGTTCTCAGCCCCAAGGGCGACTCATTGCGGTGTATAACATGAAGAAAAATAAGTGCAATCTACAAGGCATAGTGCAAAACAGTCTACAATTCATCACAGTAATAAAAACATCTTATCAAAACAACAACATTACTACAAAATTACTACTACATTCCGAATCGTCTCATCGTCAAGCCACAATCCGATATCATTTCCGTTGTTCCATTCCTATGGTCAATTGCCAGTCATTGCACTTCTTGATCAAATGCCTTCTTAAATAGCCAGGTCTTTAACTTCCTGCGGAATATTAGCAGGGAGGGGGCTAGCCTGATGTCCACGGGAAGGGTGTTCCACAGCCGAGGAGCCACCACCGAGAAGGCCCTATCTCTCGTCCCCACCAGCCGTGCCTGTGAGGCAGGCGGGATCGAGAGCAGGGCCTCCCCGGAAGATCTCAAAGTCCTCGCGGGCTCATAGGCCGAGAGGCGGTCAGTTAGGTATTTTGGGCCGGAACCGTTTAGGGCTTTATAGGCCAATGCCAGCACCTTGAATTGAGCCCAGTAGCAGATTGGCAGCCAGTGGAGCTGGTACAGCAGGGGGGGTTGTATGCTCCCTACGTCCCGCTCCTGTTAGTATCATGTAGTCATTCCAAATCTTGGCTATTTTCTGATAGTACAATGTCATCTGCATATCTTAAATTGTTGATATTTCTTACTCCAATTTCATACTCTCTTTCTCAGAGTTTTGTTCACTTTTGCATATTACATATTCAGATATAATGTTGCCTTGCCTGTCCCACCATTTGCCAATCGAAATCCATTATGTTTCTTCATATTCTGTCCCAATTGTGGCTTCTAGTCCTGAATACAGGTTACACATTAGGATAATCAAATGTTGTGGTGCATCAATTTCTTCAAGAATAAGCAAGTCTTTTATGATCTACTAGGGCCTCAATAGCTGCCTGCCTACACATGAGTCTGCCTAGACTCTGAGACCCTTAACAGGGATCCTGTTATGTGTCCCATCCAAAGGTTAGTTTGTTGAGTACACAAGACAGGGCTTTCTCTGAAATGGCACCTTCATTGTAGAACTCTCTTCCAAGTCAGACAGCTCTATCTGCGCTGTCTTATTTGAGATTCACAAATCTCTTCCTTATCCTTGATGGCAATCTCTCCCTTTCCAACTTCATAACAGTTTTTCTAGAGATAAGATTTTTCAAGGGACCCTATATTATATACATCTGTCTGGAGGCAAGGCCCACTGAACATACCTAATTAGGGGCTTCAGGCTTCGAAGACATTGGATTGAGGAAAGAAAACCTATAAGAGGCAGCAATGGGAAAAGGAAGGAGGTGGGAGAAACAGTGCAGAGATTGCGACATATCCATAAAAGAAATAAGAAAAAGTGAAAGTGAAATAGCAGAATAATTTTGAGGTCCCGGATGACTTTAAAATGCTAAATTGATTTCCATATGTGACTTAAATATGTTGTGAAAGCACCAAAAGCCAGCTGTTAAACGGTGGGGGGGGGGGTATTTTAAATCTGAGAAACTCAACTGCATTATGTCATTAGGTGGGGAGAGAAGAGAGTTTGTGTCTCATAAATTGTTACTGGAAAATCCTGTTCTGACAAGTGGACAATGACATCAAGGAACGAAAATGCTTGTGCACACCATTTCAGCAAAAAAGATTACAAGTACGAAACTCAAGATGTCCTCATTCCCCAAAGGGCCTTTTTCAGCTACAAAATTATGCATAGATAATACCTGCATTACAGTTCTTCTATGTATGGAAAAGAAAATGCTTTCCTGTGAAGGGAGACACTTTCCAGCACATAGGAAAATGTACTAATCAAATTCCTCTCTTTAAATTAATGGAAATGTGATTTTGATGAATGCTAGGGTGTGTGTAGACATCCATGATGGGATGAGCTATCATAATCTTATATAGGAGCATTGGAAAAGCTAAAAGCTTGATGATTCCTGTCTTTTGTGTGGTGGAGCAACTGGACACTTCTCTCAAATATGATAATCTAGAAGAACACACAGAATTTGTTCTGGTTCACAAATATGTGCTTTTTAGTCAGTTGGTGGAAACTGCACTCCTGGCTCTTGGATATTCTCACAGCTCTTCAGCACAGGAACAAGAGGGATAATGTGCCTGGAAATAGCTGGACATGGGTGGCTGTGAGGGATAACTACTCATGAAATTGTCGCAATACATGTGCCCAAACTCTGTAATCCTGGATTAAACAGGGAAGGAAATGTCTTCCACCAGCGAGGGATCATATTTGCAATCTAGATTTATTTTACTGAAGCTATCAAAGGACAGGAACAATCCAAATTATATATGCCTCTGTGAGATTTATGTATATAATTAACTTGCTTAGTTTTTTATGTTATTATTTCTATTTTAAAGTTTTAAATTTTATTCTTTAATAAAAACGGCATTTAACATTATAAACTTGCATTATTACATTGACTATTACTAGATCTATACTCCCTCGCCCCACCCCATCATACACCTAACTTCATAGCTATTGTAATGTTTTAAAAATGTTTTAATGTATTTCAATTTTGATCTTAATTTAATTTAAAAGTTTATTTTAATTGTATATTGTTGTTAAGGCACTGAATTGTTGCCTATCTGTGAGCAACCTTGAGTCCCCCTCAGGGTCGAGAAAGGCAGGATATAAATATAGTAAATAAATAAATAATCTTAACATTAAGAAGGAGAAGCCACTTGAACTCTTCAATGAAATTTTCATTGACAACACATGATTGTACCATGCAGAAATAGGCCAGCAAATATGAGGTCCTCTAAATATTGCAACTCTCATCAGTTGGAGCTAGCAAAGAGGATATATGAAGAGTGCTACAATCCACCAACCTCTACAAAAACCACCTTTTTGGCACATCCAGCATTTTTTAAAAAGCAAATAAGATATTGTGTCTTGCAAGCTTATCAACAAACAAGTTGGCAATTTTAATTTTCCCACTGCTTAGAAACCTTAGTTTTTGAGCTCCTCCGTTACCACTGTCAGCAAGCCCAGAGGCTCAGCTGGTAGGAAAATATTTTGGAAGTTGTAATCCAATAAGTAACTTTTCCACTCTTTAATTCTCTCACCCTCTGTGACTACTGAATGGTTGTGGTGCAGTAATGGTTGAGTATTCTTCATTCAAAATGCTTGGGATCTGAAGTTTTTGGATACTGGATTTTGGGTTTTTTGGGGGTTTTTTTTAATACCTGTATTTCAATATCTGTGTATATATAAAGTAATTTCTTGGAGATGGGACCCATGTCTAAATTTGAAATTATTTTATATTTCATGTACATCTCAGACACATAGCCTGTTTTGTGCATTAAATAAAGTTTGTGTATAACGAACCACCAGAAAACAAAGGTTTCAGGATATCAGCCACCCATGTTGACAATTTTGGATTTCAGATTTCTGGATCAGGGATGCTCAGCCTGCAGCGCAATCTGCCACTAGGAATCCGCCTTCTATATGCAGTAGAAAGGGCAGTCCAACATAACCATTTTAGCAGAACATTATGCTCTACCATGTGGATGTGAGATCTTCCATGGTATTTACATTCTGTCCTTTATCATGTTTTACAGAAATGGAGCAGCCGCAGATCAATAAACATATGTCACAAATCCTGCAATACAGAATGCCAGCCATATTGTTTAGGGTAGGCATCTGCATAAGAACAACTATGGATAACTCTAAAAAGAGAAGGAAAATATGAGCATATTTTTATTAAACATTATAGAGTAATGGATGGTCCTGAGAGCCTTGAAATATGTGGGCAGTGAATGGTAAATGTAAAACAAAAGAGAAAACAGTACCCTATTGCAAAATGTAATTGATTACTTCATTTCTCTCATTATTTTTCATTCAAACTAATTTACAATACATTTCTTCATGGGCCTACTCAGAAAATAAAGACCCATTGAGTTCAATGGGATATACCCCCTCCAAGTGTATTTAGGAATTGCAGTAGCAATACATATTTGGCATTCCACACATACTCTAAGATGAATAAGGTAGCTTGAAAGGGAAACTTGAAAGTGCTCTTTGAAGCACTTACAAAAAGATTAATTCTAGTTATGACACGCAGACATTGTCAGGCAGAAACAAACATACTTTATATAACTCCAAAATGAAAACAGTGAGATTTTATTCTTAGTGTTAATAGAATGCAACTGGCATGAATTCCACTGTGTCTTATATAATTCTGAAGTAATTTATGGCCAGAAATCACATTTTTACCAGGTGCTCTGATGGATCACAACATGGCAACAGAGAGAGGAAATAATTTGACTGCCACCTGTGCCAGAGGGTATGTATCTACCAGATGTTGGGATTTTGACCTTCAAGGTGGCTTCATGCCAGACTTCACCATTAAAAAATTATATGGGATAGATTCCAACCAGACTTCAAGCCTAGTGATTGGCACAGCAAGTAGGAAAATAGTAGCAAAACAAATGACTTGAGGATTTATGGCATGAAAAAAGGCACAAGGCCAAAGCATTGACTTATGTAAACAAAGCTTTTTCCTTGATCTAATATCAAGACAGATATATTGGGATATAAGTCAAAGCTTAAAGATATCTTTGGATTGGTAGGGGGGGAAATGTGGTAGTATTTTATCTAATAAAATTCTTTTCTTCCCACGTAAGGATTGGTTTTGGAATCCCTGTTGCCATCATGGCCAAATGTTAATAACTGTCAAGTGGAATGAAAGTGTTAATTTGTATTAGTAACTTTATTCAAATAATATTATTTGCCTTAAATTGGTAATTTGAGGCTGTGAAAAGATATAAAGGCTGAGAATTGACTAGGGGAGTGAATGTTCTTCTGTTGCTAACTGTTGCTAACTTGATTGTCCAGTTTTCAT